ACACTACATTTAGACTGGTGCATCTAAAAAGCAGTCCTTACTATACCTGCACCCAAATCTCAGTTTCTAAATAGCAGTCTCCAATAAAAGAAACCAGGAACCCTTGGGGAAGTGCCGGATTCCAAGGCAGTGGCAGGGAAAACATAAGGTGAGCCTAGAGCATGCTGTAATACTAGAAGGTGATGAAGTGCTTTAAAAAAAAAAAAAAAAAAGGCACAGGAACAAACAAAAAATTGGTCCCTATGGCTAAAATTGGAATAACCTGGATAACAAAATAATCCCATCATGATATAACCCAGGAATAAAATAAAGATCCATAAGCCCATGCTGATATAAATAACTGAATAAATAAATGGGAGAGAAGAGATAGCTCTCTTTTCGCAGCAGAATCCCAATAAATAGCAGAAGGAATGAGGGAAATAGAAAATCACCATTAGAACCTCATGGTAATCATTGCCACAGGCAAGACCCACCAACAGATGCTAAGCCTAGCAGGTGAAAGTTCTTTAAGCAGAAACAATACTTGGATAGTCTCGGAAGTACCTCCTTCAGCATACTTTCCAAGTACAAAGGGAAGGACAGTAAGTTTACAGTGGGAACCCTAGCAGACACCCCCCGTAGCCAGGTGATCAAGATTAACATCAGTAGTGACACCTGAGGATGTCACCTGCCCCCGTGCGATGCCCGCTCATCTGTGGTTTCCCTGCAAGGACACATAAACTCCATCACACCAAGAGAAAACCTCAGGGGCACGAGGCTGGCTCAGTGGGTGAGGTGTGTGACTATCGATCTCAGGTTGTGGGTTCAAGACCCATGCTGGGTGTAGAGATTGCTTTTAAAAATTTTGAGAAAAAACCTTAGACAAGTCTATCAGAGGAGCATTCTTCGAAACATTTTGATGTCTTCATTTCGTACAGTGAGCATTTCCATTTGGTTTTCTTGCTTTCTTTTTTTGAAAATTTTACTTTTAAGGCATCTCTACCCCCTACGTGGGGCTCGAACTCCCAACCCTGAGATCAAGAGTCACATGCTCTACTGACTGAGCCAGCCCAGTGCACCCCCTTCCCATTTGTTTCTTTTAAAGTCTACAGTTTTTCCCTGTATCTTTTCTGTTGTTATGCACATTATTCCATGTGCTTTCTTTTCAAACGGTTCTTAAACTTTTCATTTGAAAGGAATTTCAGACTCAGAGAAAAGTTGCAAGGGTGGCACAAATGAGCACCGTTTCCTGGCGTATTTTCCCACCATAGAATCCTGCTCAGGATGGCGTGCTGCATTTAGTTGCTCTGTCTTTACTTTTGTAGACTTCCTTTTAAACTCTTTCCAAATCGGCATCTCCTCGCTAATTCTCCAGACATGATCAGGCCCGTTTGCCACATCAGTTGACTACTCCAGACATGGCAGATTTCACCTTCAGCAGGAGTTATCTTTTCAAGGCTCCCTGCCTACGCCCTAGGGTTTGCCCTGGGGTGCGCCCTGGGATGCAAGACAGTTTTGCATCTGTCTCTATGGATCCTTACGGAAGTCACCAGCTGTGGGGCACATTATGTGAGTTTCCCCGCTTGGGGCTTCTGCTCCTTGTGGGTGGCCCACATGCAATACACACTGGGGGTTCCACCTTCTTAGGGATGACTCTACCTAGAGCCATCGGTATCGTGGTTGGCTCAGGTTCGCCAAAGGGCAGTCCCTTTCAGGCTCCAGCTGTCTGCAGAGAGCCAGTGGCTTTGACTTCCACAAGGCTGGTCCTGGTCCCTTCAAGGGCCTGCATATCATATTTCCCTTTCTTGTTTTGGAACAGAGAGATTATGCACTTCTTGGTGTTGGGAGGGTGTGCATGAGTGTGGATATGGGTGTGCTGACTTCCTACTAGCTCAGCTATCTTGACTAGAAGGCTGGGACCAGCCATGTGATCTCTCTGCTCCTCAATTTCCCCATCAGGAAAATGGGATAATAAGGGGACCCATATCATAGGTCTGTTGTGAGGCTTCACTGTTAATTTAAGGTACGGAACCAAACCTTGTTTATCGTCCCACTGTCTAGCCAGAGCCCTATCAGACCAGAAAGCCAACACTGGAATACAAACCCACTGCTTTCCCTGGGGGAGGGGAGATGGATGATTTTCGTTTTATTTGTGTGTGTGTGCATTTTCTGCAATGAGTATGGGTTAATTCAATGATTAGGAAGATGGCAGTAAATGCTACTTAACACATTGACATTCGGGGCGCCTGGGTGGCTCAGTCGGTTAAGCAGCCTGCTCTTGATTTCGGCTCAGGTCATGATCTCAGGGTCCTGGGACAGAGCTCTGTGCTCCGAACGCGGAGTCTACTTGAGGATTCTCCCTCTCCCTCTGCCCCTCCCCCAGCTCGTGCTTGTTCTCTCAAATAAATGAATCTTAAAAAAAAAAAAAAAATGACACTTGGTCAGCTCTTCAAGTGCTGAGTACCAGCCTGTGTTCAATAAAAGCTTAAAGGCGTACCTGGAATGAACGACACTTTTGCAAGTGATTGGGGCTGGTGCAGGGGTGGGGAAGGAGGGCAGCCTTGGAAGGCAGGGGGTGAGAGATGGTGAGGACAGGAGCAGAGGACCCCAGAGGGTTGTCACTGTTCACTTTACCAATCCTGCCTCGCTTGCTTATGAGAAACCCAGCGGCTGCTCAGCCTGTGCCCCACTCAGCAACAACAAATGTTGACCACGCGGAGCGGAGGCTCAGCCTAGCAAAGCCAGCAGGGGCCTGCCCTCATGGGGCTTCTGCTCTCCAGACAAGCATCAAGCAGGAGATTGCAGAATCCATGGCTTAACTGCAGCTGTGCCTGGGGCCTCCCAGGAGAAATGCCCAGACCACCGAGGACCTAGACTGGCCTCGCCCAGTCCAGCTGGGGAGGGATGCTGGGAAGACTCAGCCCTCCAAAGGGTAGGATGGGACAGTGGGGAGGCAGGGTCCAGGCCTGGGGCTTGGTGGGAGTCTGTGAGAGTCAGATAAGAAGTGGTTGGGGAGGGGCGCCTGGGTGGCTCAGTCGTTAAGCGTCTGCCTTCGTCTAGGGTCATGATCCCAGGGTCCTGGGATCGAGCCCCGCATCGGGCTCCCTGCTCCACGGGGAGCCTGCTTCTCCCTCTCCCACTCCCCTTGCTTGTGTTCCCTCTCTCGCTGTCTCTCAAAGAAAGAAAGAAAGAAAGAAAGAAAGAAAGAAAGAAAGAAAGAAAGAAAGAA